CTCAGACCAATTTTTTCATGCCCCTCACCTTTCTTATCGATGACCATGGGATGAGAGACCATTTATGCAGATCTAGGTTCAGTTGTATTTCAGTACATAGAGTGCATCTATCCATATCGTATCATTTTATCGATTCATCAGTGCATTGCTTGTCAGCAGTGATTTTTCAAAAGCTGGCGAAATTATTAACCAGGTTGAAAATACATTGACATATTTCAGGTGGTTCAACAAGTAATTCAGACAAGCAGCGAATATTAGCTTTCTCTTTGCGATTTCGAGAGACTTTTCGGCTTATTGTACATCCGAGTGTACTGAACTTATTGAAGGAGTCAAGAATAGGGAAAGGAGGCAGAAACCTCCTGTTCGAAATTTAGAAGAATGCAACTGCAAAAGGGAAGTTTCTCGAAGGTATGAGCAAGCTCAAGGCTGAAATGGGTATCACTGATAGGGAGACGCAGTATTATTAAGTTGTTCACAGCAACCCTAAAACAGGATTTTAAAGCACTTCGTTGGAGAAATCAGGGGCTAAAAATAAATGAGAACTTTTTAGCCACTAGCGATTTGCGGGTGACATTAGGATCTGTTCAAGGTCACCAGAAAAATTTCAAAGAAAAATCTGAGTCAGCTAGACTAACAAAAGTAGAAATGAGAATGAACGGGGAAGACTCAGATTATGTTAAATAAATTCTTGACCCATCAATCTGTTTAATATAACGGGCTTTGTTTTGAAGAAGTGCCAAAGTACTATGTATTTACGAGCAGCTCTTATCTACAACTGAGAACCGACAGGGAATTCAGCAGCAGAATAATTCTGGAAGAGTGAAAACGTTCCTTACCGGGAAACTGTCCTTGTGCATAAAACGCAACAGTTTTTTTCCCGATCAGTGTATACTCCCACTGCTAGCCTATGGGTGCGAAACGTGGACCATAAACCGGTACACTATTCATAAACTGCGGGCTGCACGACAAAACACGGAATGATGTATATTTGAAGTAACAAGAAAAACAGGAAGAAAAAATAAACATAAAAGCACAGTCAAGGGTCTGCAGTGTCATTGTCTCAGTGAAATTGTTAAAGTGGCAATGAGCTAGACACGTTATAGGTAGAACCAAACGTCACTTGACTACTGGGTTCCCCAAAAGGGTAAACAACCCATAGAATTCCTTGAAAGCTTGTGGAGGAGTACCTTCGTTATTTTACGTACTCAGGCGTAATAACAACTGATGATGTTTGTGTGGTAGCGTAAAAGTACCAGCTCCTGAAACATTGCAATGAGAACTGGATGACCTTAACGAACAAAATTATGTGAGATACATCTAGCACTGCAGGTGTTCGAATACCGTAGAGCCGTGGTCTGCGTAAATGATCCCGCTCCCTCATAAGAAACTGGAAACAGAGGGGCGGTGTGATACACCGTGAAATCTAGTCTAGGAGAAACCATTCGTTGTTGAACCGACGTTTCTAAACAGCCAGTACAAACGTGTCTATCGTTGCTTTATATTGATCCTGATTGGTGAAAAGGTTTGCTGAAATTAGGGATTTCTTTGATATGGATGTTCTGTATGAACCGTGGAAACTTATTTGTTTTGTAAAATGTTTTTCATCTTGTATATTCTAAATGCCTCAGTATCTTGTACTGTTGAAAGTACAATGCAAACTACCGAGTCGTTTGACTGGGTAGTGCAGTTGTTGTTTATGTAAACAAATATTTTGGTAAAAAATGATGTGCTTGCATGAAGATATATTTAGAATGATGACATCTCTCATCAATTGTATCTCTTTCAGGCGCGTCTGACTTGTTTGAAGAAGCGGACGAAGATCAGGACTCAGTGAAGCAGGCTCTTCTGGACACGAATCCATACCTTCTCGGTCTGACTTTCGCCGTTTCCATCCTGCATACGATCTTCGAATTCTTGGCACTAAAAAACGACGTCCAGTTTTG